TACAAAAAACAAAGGCAATAAATACTCAAAATCTATGACTTCTTCATTATGCTGCCACACGTCATTATCCTCTGTGTTCTCCATGCTGTCTGTCGTGTCTGTGTGGGGGAGATGCTAGCTGTGTTTGTTAGCCCCAACCTCTGCAGCTTGAGACAACAAACATTCTCTAACAGTTTCTGTAGCTGGGAATCTGGTGTTGCCTGGGGCTGAAAGATCTGCCCCCGTGGTTGTTGACGGGCCTCAGGAACTCATGGCGGCTGGACTGCGGACGTCCGTCTGTACCCCTCAGGCTGTTCTGCAGAGGACTCCCCGAGTCCCTGCTGCGTGAGTGTTTCTACAACACGGCAGACAACTTGCCCAGGACGAGTGAAACGAGAAAGAGAGGGAGAGGGTCTTGTTATTGTTGTCGAGTCCAAAATCGTTCTGCTCACCACACGACAGGCTAATAAACCGGGAGATGAGGTGTTGGGGCAAGGAATAATGACTTTATGTGGAAAGCCAGCAGACCAAGAAGATGGCAGACTAATGTCCTGGAGAACCATCTTCCCCAAGTCAGAATTCAGGCTCCTTTTATACAAAAAAGGGGAGGGGACGTGGTTGGTTGTTGCAGACTTTCTGATGTTGGAATCCTTGTTCTTGCCCTGTCCACCTGGGTCAGATCATGGTGCCCCTGTAAACCTCCAACAAAACAAACATTATTTTCTATTCTACAACTTGTTATCTTTATACGAATGGAAAAGTGTTAATATCCTTAAAGGTCAGAGCCTTGAGAATAGGCTCTCCTGTGTATTTCAGCCTCTAGGCAACATTCTTTTACAAAAGGTGTAGAACCAGCAAGACTAAGCCTAGGAAACAGAGCACAGGGTTAAAGCCAAAGGAACAGATGTAATATGGAGTCAGATTTGTTCTTTTCTATTACATTATCACCTAAATTTGGTAGGTAAATCCCATCACTTCTGCCAAATTACCTTCACTAGAAGCGAGTCACTAAGTCCTGTGGATGCTCAAGCAGAAGGGAAGTAAGCTCCCCTGTGAGAGGGAGGAGTGTAAAGAATTTGCATAAGGGTGTGCTGCCGCCGATCTCTTCTCAAGCTGTGTCTGGTGACGTCACATCGGCCATTTGAAATCAGCCACAGGGAATATTTACCCTGTGGAAATCAGCAAACACTCTAAACCCGGTTTTATCCCCCATGGAGAGCTGAGTGTCAGACATTTACCATCAAATCACTGGACAGATAGATATAAAGTGGTATGTCTACAGCACTTTTGTGGAGTAGATGAGTTTTAGACAGGACTTTGGAAGGAGGGAATCAAAGGTTTGGGAGATAGGAAGAGATAGCTCCTGAATTTGAAAAGTAGTAGGGGTGATGCGGGAAGTGGAGGTTAGGGGAGCTTCAGTTGGTCCTTATGGATGCTCAGAAGTGAGATGAGCAACAGAACTCTCTCTTTTCTGTGTGCATGCACATGCATGATTTAAAATGTGGGTGCACACTACGTTTAACTATGGGTGCACAGAGTCCAATGCATTAGACAATCAGTATGCAAGATTTCCTACCCAGGAATCAGGATGGGTATGTAACCATTCACATAATTGCCTCGGAAGCCGCGAACAAATGACATAGGCTGCAGTGAAGCTGACCGACAGTAAAATCACCCAGAAGTTCAAAGACCTAGTTTTAACTCCTCTGAACTGATTCCTTGGTGTGTGTGCTGTGCCCGCGAGTAACTGACAGTCTCAATCATCTATCAGGTATGCAAGAGCATCTCTCAAAAAGAAAACTTCCAGAATCATAGTATTTTAGATTTAAAAAGACTTTGGAAATCACATGGGACAGTATTTCTCAAAGTATGTTTGTCAGTCAAACATCAAAATCTGAGCTACCTGGGGTTCTTGTTAAAACCTGGAACCTTGTTAATACCTGAACCCCCACCTCAGATCTACTGCATCGGTCAGGGCTTGGGAATCTGCACATTTTATTAATTCTCTAGATGATTGTGCTGCACTTGAATGAATCCAGATCTTCCATTTTGTAGATAAGGAAAACCAGTTTCTAAGATTTTAAAAAAGACTCCCCTCAAATGAGACCACATTGCTGGGAGGATTCCACCCATTTACAAAAAAGTAAAAACAAAAACAAAAACAATCCATAAAATTGAGATTTGGGAGAAAATAGAAAACACACCCTTTGTCTGAAGAGAAGCTTAAGGGCAACACAGGATTTCACTGACTCATATGATGTTTACGTGTGTTCTTACCAGTATGTGACCCACCTAGCCACAAATCAGTGTGGTTACCTTAAATTGCTAACATGAAACTCTTGACCTTCCCCTTCTGAAGTTATGGTTTTGGCTACTCTGTTTTCTTTTTCAAGGTTTCCAAGGTTGCTCTTTTGGGCATGATTTTAGAAATCTAATTATAGCTTTGGTTGCAAACTTCTGGGGACCATGTAATCAAACTGAGACTAACCATAGAGGAAAATATACAAGGTTCTTGCATTGTCATTCCTGCACTGAAAAGGAACACAGCTGGGTGCAAATTCAACTGAGTGGCATGTCTTTGTAGTGGCAGCTTTCCCCTCAAAATCCCCCAAAAAAGATCTATGCTGCTGTGGGAAACAGTCAGAGGAGTTTGAAACCAGTCTCTCTAGCAGCATTGTTTTTTTGAGCCAATAAAATCATTTACACTTTCTCCAGGAGCAAGTTTTTATTCAGTGCACTGCATGTTAGGCATATGGAGAAAAAGTGAATTAAGAAAAAAACTACGTCTAACATGAAAAAATTATCCACATGATGTCCAGTTTCTCTACTTGGTTGAAATGGATCATTTATTTAGATTTGTACTATTTTTGAATCCAAATGGCAACCTCTTCAGAATAACATCTGCTCCAGATTTCTTCCTGGACTACAAATCATGTGTAAAGGATGGGTATTTAATGCTGTAAATGATTTTATATTTTTGCAATAACTTTGGGAGGGGAACCCAGATACCATCTCCCACGATCAGAGTTTTCTTTCTATAACAGGATTTGATCTTTCATTTATTTTTTCTTGGAAGAAGATTCTCCAGCCCCAATCCAGCCTTCATGTGGACTGCAGTCCAACATCTTAGTTACAACCAGGTAAGAGACCTTGAGCCCAAATCACCCAGATAAGCTGCTCTGGAAAGATTTAACCTTAATACCAAACTAAATCCTGTGTGCAGCGCTCCCAGCTGTACTGTTTCCCCCACAGGAGTTACAGAGGGGGTTGGCAAAAGCACTGGCACATGACATTGTCTTTCCTGTGCTTTTTTTCCCCTGGAAGAATCCAGGAATATGATTAAATACAGTTAAAGACAGTATCTGCAAATGGCTAGAATGCGTTTTAGTTCCTTAAACCTCTAAATCACAGGGCAGCATGTTCTGTTTTCCAGGCAGAACTTGCAATCAATGAACATCCAACCCGTGGGTTTGTGTTTGGACTATCAATACATTATTAAAGACACATCACGGGGAGAAGGCAAGTGGCTGCCAATACTTCCTTTGTGTTTCTTTTTTTCTGGAATATTCTCTAATTTTTGGCGCATCAAGATGGAAACCTGGTCGGCTTGGCACGGATGGCAGTTTAAAAGGCTGCACTCCCAATCCCGGAGTGTTTTTTCCCCACGCAGCGTCACGGGTCTCTCAATGACAGCAGCGTGCCCACACCCGACCTTAGCTGTCATCCCACCTGGGTCGTCCCGGCGCCATTTGGCTCTGACGTGGCCCCGAGCCCGCAAATCGCGCAGCAGCCCCCGGTTATCCGCGAATCCGGCTGGCGGCGCCGCCCTCCCGGCCCCGC